CCTCATCCCTTGGTTATAGTTATTTTAGAGTGGCTGTTTCTCTTTCAACATCTGGGCCAGAATTTCATTGTTTGCTGTGGCAAAAACAGCTGCTCCTCACTCTGTGGCACACCATTAACATCTACCTGCTTCTGATATGAAGCCAGTAATAAGAGCTGACATCCACTCAAGTTAGCAATGCAGGTGGGATGCTGTTGGAGCAAACAAGCTCTGCAACATTCATCCTGCTTTGGGTGCCTGGGGATATCAGGGACTGTAGCGCCGCTAGAAGACTATTTTGGTCCACCTCCGCATTGGCCACATGCAGCTGACACATGTTTTTTTTTTAATGGAGAGGGTGCCCCCTCCCCATTTTGATGACTGCATGGTCCCATTGACTGTTCGACACCTGGTGGAGTGCCCCCAGTCTTACAGATCTTTGTCCTGGGCACCTCTCCGAGTCCCAGGGGGGAGACGGGCCTTACCATTTCTTTGGTGCTGGGAGGAGGGGGGGGGGGCAGCATGGGAGGGGACATCCTCTCCTTTGTAGAGGAAGCTGCCATTTTACAAAAGCGTTGGGTTTTATCGAATGTTTAAATGGTTTTATGAAAAATCTAAACTATTTTTATTTATGTTTTTTGGCTTTCATTATTTGTTTTTAGCCTTCTAAGCTTTTAGTTTAATTCGGCTGTTGCATTGCCAGGGATGTAATTACCACAATCAATCAATCAATCTCTTCTATCTTTACCAGTGTTTTATTTGTGGATAATCCCAAAAATCTTTTATCTCCTCCCCTAAATCATAAAATTGGATTTCTTATATTGTTCCTTTGTCTCTTATAGGATATTCATTTATAAAAATTTTCATTATTTTAGGTTCGGCAAATGTCAGAAAACGAGGCAGTTGATGCCATGATGTCTCGCCTGTCTTTTTCTGCCTCTGTCCGTGCTGAACAACTGGCTATGCAGGCAGCAAATAAATTATCTGTTAAGGAAGTTATGAAAATATCTAGTATATTTTGTTTATTGGTAAGTATAGATGTTGATTTTATCTCGGATATTCACTTGGCTTTTTATATTAAATCTCCTTCATTCTGTGTATGTGTGTGAAAGTGAGAGATATTAATTATTATTAAATCCTTGCCAAGTTGCTCTCACAATATTGGGAGTCAAATAAACCCCCCATAACTCAGCACATATGGGACCGAGGCCTTGCCAATTAATCAGAATTTGCCGGCAAGTATTATTTCACAGTCACAGTAAATAATTGTGCTGACAAGCAAAAGATTACACTTTATACATGACACTTAACACTATCTGTACGGTAACGCTTCATGGGCGCTTAATCACTGTCAGAAGGTCTACCAGTGACACGAGGCGCATGTAAACTGATGTGAAGTATGTTTTAGAGTTCTTGCACACAATTTCAAGGTCTGTTTTGATTACCCAAAAATGTAATGGTTATCATGTGCCATACCAACTTATTGCAAATTCCGATTTATTGGATGCCAGAGAGTCCTAGTCTCCTCAGATAGGACGTTTCCACATCTTCTTGAGTTAATATATTTGCCCTATCATGCTATTGTTTATTTCCCCAAGTGCAGAAATTACCAGAGATCAACACAGTAAAGTTAATTTCTTTAAAGTATCAGAATATATATATGATTAATTAAATACTGAAGAACTGTAGTGATTTTTCGTATGTTCGTCTACCAGCCAATCAGTTATCTCGTAACAAACTGACCTTCAGCCTCAGTTGCAAAGTTCGAGCGAACAAACTATAGATTTCCCTCTGTTTCCCAAGTGTTTGGCTATAAATAAGCTAAGACTCAAGGGCTAGGAGAACTGTACTTATCATTATTGCTGATTGATGAGATTGTTGGGATTCTTGTGAGTTCAACTTTTTATCTCCTTACTGCTGGCTGGCTACCTTAAAATTTCATGGTTTAGCTGGACCATATATTGTTCAGATCACTCCTGGTGTGATTGGGTGAAGGACTGTCTTACAGATAGTGCATTGTTGATATGAATTATGCTTCCTGCCACTGAATAAATTTACTCTTATTATGTCTGGCAGCCATTGGGGCCCAGTATGTTAGATCATGTGTTTTCGCCAGAACAGTAGTTTTGAGGTTTCTTCCTAATCTAGATTTATCTTTTTTTCAGTGGTTTGCAGGCAATTACAGCTACCAAATAGCACTTAGCAACACAGAAGCTGGTGTTGTCAATATTATTTCATCAACATCTGGATTGTTTACCTGTGATTCTTGCTGCCATATTTCCATCATCCTTAACAGACAAGTTTACTCTCTCCAAATTGGCCTCAGTTCTTCTTATGGTTGCAGGTGTGGTAAGTAGTCAAATATTGTATTAGATGTAATGTACAGTACTGTCCATTTTTATATTATTACAGGTATATTATATTATTTTATTTTTTTAAGACTGTATCACATAACCAGCCAAAGGCCCAGATTTTAGCATATAAAATTTTATGCTTCATCTTTGTGATATTTATCCACCAAAACTTCCATAGTTCATAATATATCATAATTCAACTATTTTTCAGAAATTTCCATCCTCAAAGTTTGCACTATCCAAAATTGCTAATGGCTATGTGTTGTCTGTAAGAATGGTGTTGGTAGCGTCAGTAATGTGCAGTGAGTGTGGAAGGTGGGTACACAAGAGGTGCAGTGGTGTGCATGGGAGACTGCAGGATGTTGTTGACTTTAAATATTTTGTACCTGTATGTGCAAATAACCACAAGGGTGGATCCAGGGCGGGGGTTCCCTTTTCAACAGAAAATTCCAATACTTTTTCTTTAATGCAGTATTGTACTCAGGCATTTTTGTATTGTAAAAAGTATTTACTATTGATTTTAGAATATCTCCTAATATCAAGTGCACATAGCCTCAAAATGTACATGATATTGGTCAGATTTAAAACATCTTCTGGGGGGCTTACAGGTAAATTAAAGAGATACTGTAAATTTCACATTTAACCCCATTCATTCAAGAAGCCAGAAGGATCAGTCGGGATCCCTATGGTATTGTAGGTATTCAGTTTTCTATATAATAAAACAGGTCTTGCATTACAGTAATATCCAAGAAAAAAACAGTTTAAAACTTTGAATATACCCAACAAATATTTTTAAGATATTTTGGATATATGTCTTGCCAATTACTTTTCAGGTTTTTGTTAGTTTGGAAGACCTCAACCTTGAAAGTTCAGTTGTGCCTGTTGGTGTGGTATGGTCAATAGCTGGAGCTATTCTTTATGCCTGTTACATGGTCTTCCTGAAGCACAAGGTTCCAACTGAAGATCGTATGGATTTTACTATGTTCTTTGGTAAGTGAATTAATTTCCTCTCCTTTCCCTTCTATCATCTCTCTCTCCTCTTCTTTGCACTCTTCCCTCCCCTCCCCCCATTCCATGCCCTTAGTACCCAGTTAGCTCTGGGAGATTTATTGATCAATCAGATATTGTTTTAATAATAATAAAAGCTGGCACTTTTGAGAAACAAAAGCTCCAATTCTTCCAAGTAATTCACTAGCGCTCAAAATTTCACAAGTCAAAGTTCTGAGAATAAAAAAATAAAAATAAAAATATAACAAAAATCACAAGAAGTGACAGTTCATTAATCCTTAAGTTGTATCACTTCCAAAGCTCTTTTCAGGATCATGTGCTTTCAAAATAAAAGAAAGGTCTTAAGTTGTTTCTTAAAAGCCTCCACAGAAGTCAGCTGCTTCATGGATGCAGGCAAATGATTGTACAATCTGGGTGCGATATAGGAAAAGGATTGGGCCACAAAAGAGCATTTCCACAATGCTCTAGGTCAGAGGATTTAGTAGGTTGGACAATTACTTAGGCTCATCAAACATAAGTGCCTTAAAAGTCATTAGGCAGAGTTTGAACTTTTTTTCTTTCTTTAATTGGAAGCCAGTGCAATTCGATTAAGAATAGGGTAGTGGAAGTCCTCAGTAGGAGAGCACATGTAAGCCTGGCATCCTTTTTCACCACCCTGAACTTTTTTCACTAGATAATTAGGTAGGCAAACCCATAAAGAGTTAAAATAGTCAACCCAAGACAAAATAAGTGAATATAAGTGCCACAAGACACTGTCTATCTAAAAACTGTTTCACAGCCGATAGATTTTGAATATGAAAGTTGCAACTGAGTTTCTATGCTCTTTAACCTTTTAGCTGAATGAATTCTTCTGGCATTAGCAGATGCTTCCCCAAGGTATACTAGAGACTGTCAATTGATTGAAAATGTCCAAAGGAGGGCTACCAGACTGGGGCCTGCTCTACAGAACCTCAAATACTTAGAGAGATTAGAACGCCTGCAACTACCTAGCTTATACTACAGACGGGCGAGAGGCGACCTAATCGATGTGTATAAACACCTCAGGGGGCACTGCTTGGTCTAATGTACATACCTGGAGCTGGCGGACGTCCGCCTCACAAGGGGTCACAGCTCAAGGTTGAAGAAGCCACAAGTCCATAAAACTGTGAGGGCAAACATGTTTGGAGTGAGAATTGTGAATTCGAGGAACAATCTACCCGAGAGTGTTGTGACGGCACTGAGTGTGAGCTCATTTGAGACCAGATTTGACCAACATTGGAGCAGGTTCCGATATACTCAGGAGTCAGTGCATGCCCAGTATTCGCCAACAGTACATAACAGAGATGTGACCGACTGCCCAAGCTGCTAATGAGCCAATCAGTAGCAAAGAGGATAAAAGTAAAAATAAAATGAATATAGTACCTAAGTGTGGGGCTGCCCTCTAAAGGGTTAATCGAGATAGACTCTAAAATTCAGTTTTGAGTCAAAGTATACATTCCAAGATTATGAGCAGAATTGACAGGATTGAGTTGTACTTCTCCAAAGTTTAAAGAGCCAAAATCATCTGTGCTGTAACCCCTCCTATTTCCTTGGATGACGATAATCTCGGTGTTGCCATCATTCATCTTAGGTTTTCGTCTAGCCATCCATTTTTTAATATCAGACATCAAGAATTTCAATATCTCTCAATATCCTTGACATTTATCATTTGGACATAAAGCTGTGTATCATTGGCATAGAAATAGTAAGGCAACACCATGAACATCCTGTAGGTTATGTATATAAGCTACTGTGCCGAGTAGCAACCCTGTACATAAGCTACTGTGCCAAGTAGCAACCCTGTACATAAGCTACTGTGCCGAGTAGCATTTATATATATAATCACGTGGCAACACTGCACGTGTTATGTGGCAACATTGCCCCGAGGCTGCCATATGGCAAGGCAGCTTCAGTCTGACTGTGTGAGCCGTGCTTGGCACACGCTGGTCACCACTTGTATTTCTCTCATCCACAATAAACGGACTCAGTGTTACTCAGTGTTTCCCTAGCCATCACAGCATTCTTCAGGGCACACTAGTAACCTACACATCCAGCAAAATTACAAAACTACTGGTATGGACTGTAAACAGAAGTGGTCCCAAAACTGATCCCTGTGAGACGACAAACTGCAAAGGGACCGGGTCTGAAACGGTTCCACCAACTATCACACATTGAGATCACTCTGACAGATAAGACTCAAACAGTGAGAATGCATCATCATGGACACTGAATGACCAAAGATCCTGAAGCCATGCTGCAGAGAGATCCAGTAGGGCCAGGAGGGAGGACTTTTCTGTGCAAGTGTTTATTACCAAATCATTATGAATTCAACATAGGCAGTTTCAGTTGAATGATGCAACCTATAGGCTGACTGGACCAGATGGATCACTTGCTTCTCTCTAACAGAGAAAGTAACTAATCCAGCATAGTATGATCTCTGATGAAAATGAGACTCGAGACTGGATGACTATAATTTTACATATTTTCAGTATCAAGACCAGAAGTGGATGTAATAAAGCCTGTTTTTCAGATCACACAAAATTACCCTCTGAAAATCACATATATATGATTCTACAAATAAAGTCTGCAGTATGTTCATAAGAGAGTGATACCTTAATACATTTGTAAGATCACGACAACAAAGTCTTCTTCAAATCCTTGATATAGTGCAGAATGTTGTTCACCTCTGTAAGACAAAATGATGAAAGAGTGAGTTCTATTGTGTAACTTGGTTAAAAATAACTGAAAATTTCTCATCTAAAGAAACACAATCAAGGTCACATGATATCTTTGTCATAAAAACCTCAGGAAAAATCTGAGGCAAGCTGACCATTTGAAGTGGAACAAAGCATAGTAATTCCAGACCTTTGGCCCAACAGCCCATTCATAACTGTATATATTTTTTTCTGGTCACTGCCACATGAGGCCATTTGACTTCTGTAGTATACAATATTCAGCGTTGTGTGCCCACACTGAACAAACAACAGCCGTACGCACAGTCATATTATGTACTCTGATCTAGTACGGTCTGTTCACTGCCTGTGCTTCTCTCATTCAGCACTTCTACGATCCATACAAAGTGAACTTATAGAGGAGTCATTCCAACGAGAGTCATCTCGTACTGTAATTTTCTTTGCCACCTCTGGACAATAATGGTTTGAAATGGACTAGAAGACATCATTATGTAATATCAGCATCTCCTCAAAGAGCAAATCAGAGGAGTCGACCCAGTTCAAAGAATGATCAACTCCCTGATCCATCATGATCTGGTCAATGTTTTTATAGTTCTTGAAGGTAATACTTTAGCAATATAGCTGTACAGTAATATGAAATGATAACTTAACCACTCTCCTATTACATTTACCAGGTAGTCATAAGCTAATACAATTGTGTTGTCATTGAATTTCTAACTGTCACATCGTATTCATATGCCATACTTCAGTTACTTGGCAGGCATTGTATTTACTTCTTCATGGGAATTCACACCGTTAAACTGTCAGAACACAACACTAACACAAAGAGAGGATTCTTATTTTTCAGGGAGAGATAATTTTGCTTTATTCTGTACAAATTTATTGCCTTCAGTTGTTCGGGTGTGAATTATTAAAGTGTAATGATTTTAACTTCTTGAAATAAAACAAAATTTGTGGCACAGTTGGTGTAGGTACTGTAGATAGATAGGTTGAATGTATTGGTCTTTTTAATTTGTTTTCTTATTAATATTTTTTTTTTCTCCAGGATTTGTGGGCTTTTTCAATACCATCATTCTGTGGCCCGGGTTCCCCCTGTTGGATGTTTTTGGATGGGAGACATTTCAGTTGCCAAATCTGCAACACCTGTTCTACATGTCTGTTAATGGCTTAGTAGGAACTGTCCTGTCTGAACTTCTTTGGCTTTGGTTAGTAATGCTTTATCAATTAAACCATTTATAACAAAGTATTGATATTGTCAATCTCATTTATGAAATTTGATTAATATGTCCAGAATTTTTATGGTTGGGCACTGATGACCATGACCTCTTTGAAATGTTGATTCCGGCCATTATCTCCCATATGTTTAAACCATAGATTATGATTATTGAAAAACCATCATAAAAAAGGAAAATAAAAAACTATAGGTACAGTAGCTAAAAGAAGTATCTGTACTTACTCTGTGTGAAACAATATGATACCTTAGGTTAGTTTATAATCATCTTGAGCCTGACTAGACAGTATGGCATCAAGTACTTTTTGAGAATGGACTCTGTGGTTTGAGGATGCTAGATTGTGTAAAGTGACAGGGAAAATGTAGAAGGATGTCTTTGAGCATTGTTGTGGAAGGGAACAATATCGCACAATGCATGTGTCTTAGCGGTTTAGAGGATGAGTGACAAAAACGAACAGTGTGTGTGTGTATATGTTCTTGATTGTAGCCACTGTATCATAAAAGAGAAAAAGGATGTACCAAATAGGTGCTTACCTTTATACTTTATTTCTTGAAATAAAGTCTGAATTTGTTTCTAAATTGAAGTGTTTCAGAGAATATCATACATTCCTCTCTTAGCTGATAATGCAAGAAAAAATTTGTGCAGTAAAGATTCTTTTTTTTTTTAATTGTCTTCTTAGTTAACACCTTCTATAATTGTTTGACCTACATTGGAATTACTTGGGAATTGAAGGTGTTTTATTTTGCAGGGGATGCTTCCTTACTTCATCATTGATGGCTACTTTATCTTTGAGCTTAACTATTCCCTTGACAATGTTTGTGGACATCTGGCTCAAGGGCATCAAGTATTCACTGCTAATTTATATTGGTGCAATTCCCATGATGACATCTTTTATTGCTGTCTCACTTCTCACACATTATGAAAGCTGGGACCCATTGATGGATGGAATGAAATATCTTCATAGAAAGTGTTGGAGAAGAAACCACATGTACAGGTAAATTTAACTTTATATAATTTTCTTTGTACAGTTGTACCCCACTTAACGCGGTCAATTGAACCCAGAGGGTCCCGCGTTAAGTGAAATCCGCGTTAAGTGAACAACAGAACATATGGGATTAATTCCAATAGAAACCGGCCTGACCCCCAAACTCCACTTTTTGAAGGCACATACCTATGTTGTAGTAAAAATAACATCTTAATTTTATGATGGTACATGCACACAATTAATACTTAAGAGAAATACAGTCAAGTTAATGTCCATTCAAATAATGGACTCAACTCCCTCCCTTCTCACACTACACTTCGCTGGCTCTTCCTCTCAGATGGTGATGCTGTGACGCCATCGTGGATGAAAATAGGCATACGTACTATAGTTAAAAAAGTCAATCTTTGCGATGTTCAGACCCTAGCCCTCTTTCCCATA